TTCGTGTATGCGGACTAAATTTGGTATGTCCCTACTTTTCTCATGGTCAGCTGTTCCTGTTATGTTCACGCGTTGGTAGACCGAGCTATTTGTTTATTTACGCATTAAAATATTACAATATTTTTCTTAGATTTTTTTTGTTATTAAATAATATATTTTTGTTATTAAATAGTATATAAAGTCAATACGGGTAGCGAAGCGCACCGGGTTCAGCTAGTGATACATAAGAGGGGTGACATGCAGAAATCCCACCTATATTTAGGGCCACATCGAGTACCTCTATCAGTATTAGTCTAAATACTGAAAGTACATCTTTTAAGGGTTTTGTGAGGGACAAAAAAATGTTTCCATAATACCGATGCAAATGGGATGTTGAGCGCGTAAAAACGGTACATCATTCTGCCTAATCCGCTGCCATTTTACTTTTTACATTTTACAATGTATCTATAATGTCGTAGATTTCATGGTATGTTTGAACGATCTTTGAACAATTTGGTCCCAATCGCAAGTCTAGGACGTCAATCCTGAAAAATCGTAGACAATCTAAGGATGAAGGTCACAACTTACAAGGATGAAGGTCAACTAAAGTCCTTTAAACAACAACTAACACCTTTGTCAATCTAACAATCTGAAATGAATTGTATTTTGTTTGAACTTGGGAAGATGGAGGTTAACATATCAATGAAAGTAAAGAATTTGAATTCTTCGGCTCAGGACTTTTAAAGAAAGTACTATTTCTAGTACAATGTATCGAATACATGTAGATCAAGTATATCGAATACAAGAATCTAACTGCCTAACTGCAGGTCAAAAGGTAATGGAGCGAACTGCCACTTTCATAGCATTCTCAAAAAAATCGCCAGCAATTACTGATTTCTTGGCCAAGATTAGAGTTTAGGCTTTGTATTAATCGCCTGTTTATTATTGGTTAACATACGGAGCATAGCACGCTGCTCATTTCGATTTCGACCCGTTAAGTTTAAACAAGAAATTATCAAGTTCAATGCCATGATCATGCCAGTGAGCCACAGCGCTCTCGGGCATTCGTTTGTATAGCCACAAACAGTTATAACAGTAAAGTTAACATCAAAACTTGCTTGGACAGGAAATAAAACAAAGTGCTTGGAAGAATTCCGAAACCGAGAGTGAATCGTTATTTTCAGTTCCGTGGTTGTTGCTGACAATATTTAATTGCGAACCACAATGGATGGCCGATAATGAAAACGAAACGAAACAAAACAAAACAAAACAAAAGCAAAACAAACATCGACGCTGCATGACATTGTGTGTGCGTGTGAATGTGTGCCTGCCAGCGAATGATGAGCCCAATGTAGGTGATAACAAGCATTAGAAATGTAGTGGAACGACCGCACAGATGCGAGAACCGGCAAATGGACACAAGTTCGACAACATCTTCCATTCTTCGTCGTTCTTACTTCTTTTCATTTGTCTGATTGCTCCAAGGTACTTGACATCTATTGGTCATTAACAGTCGGTGTTTCTTAATTTGTATCGAGTGCAGAGATTCACCTGCATTATTATATTTGCCAAAAGCCCAAAACACACACACACACACACACATATGTACACCCAAGCAAACACTGATCAATGTGAGGAGGCATTCAAGTGCGCGAACTATTGTCAAAATCAGACACACTAGCCGCTAGCTCCCATCTACCTATACAACAAACTCACATTCATTAACAAACACAAACGCACACACAGACTGCTACCCAGCTGGGTTGTAGGGCACCAAGAGTTTGGCCAAGTTAAGGCGGCTGGTAGCACAGCATCGATTGTATACTTAGTGCCGTACACTTTCAGTGAAGAGATCAGTTGGTGAATGGGAACCGTGGGAAGCGGATGTCAAAGGTTTCGAGTGTAGTGGACAAAATAGTAAAGCGCAAATAAAACGTTCTCCTCGTCTCAAGAAGTCTAAAGAGCCTCCAACTTGTGGTGCGTGCGAACTTGAACGGATCTAAACAAGTTGGACCCACCATACCCAAACGTCAAAACAAAAAGGTGAGCCGATGTCCCCGCCTCCCCAAAGGATATATCTACCAACAATCCGTCAAGAGAAGTCCCAGTGTTTGATGTGTGCCCTTGGAGCGAAAATATCGAATCGCGTAGTCACCGAAATGTCAATTAACGTTGTGACTATAAAAAAAAAAACAAATCGGAAGATTTTTCAAGTCATTCTATTGACATTCTGCTAATTAAGAATAGAAAATATGTGATTCAAATGTGTGTGTGTGTGTGTAAATATGTATAGCTTTGTGTGTGTGCAAAGTTTAAATGTGACAAAAGAACAAAGGCAAACACCTTTCATAAGCTAAGCGTGGTCATCGTGTTCCTTGACAGTACAGATACAACAACTGTAATCGGCTCATTTTCTCGATCAGAGCAATAACCAAGGCTCCCAAGGGTTATCCTTCGCAAAATATATAGTTGTAAACAATGGTAAAGGGGTGCTTGAATGTTACATGTCGTTAAAAGATCCAGCGCCCAACAGTTTTAGTAGTCGATGTAAAATTGTGAAGGGTACAGCTCAACAAACGAAGAAGTAGTCATCGATTGGAGGAAGATTATAGAAGATGAGTTTTTGAAAATATTTCTTGCAGAAATTTGACATTAGGCGAACTTACCATTTAGCTCCCCACAAGCACGACATTGGAAGCATCCGCCCACTGTGTTCCATAGCAATAATAATGATTACCAAAATTAATTTATGGCTTCCGCATTCGAAGGACTAGCAGGAAGTGCCAAGGTTACATTGTTCGAGGAAATGCGAAGGTTATATTGTTCGAAACAGGAATTGCAATATGTCTACAAACTGGTCTAAAAATCTCTATTCGATAATGCCAATTCAAGGATAAACAATATTGGCATCTTTTGTAGTTGTAACTTAATAACAACTGCACATACGTATTTATTTCTAAGAGAATTTTACCCTTTAAGTTTTGATCTTTTCAGAATTTTCAGACTAATCCAAAGTCGATTTCGATTTAGCCGACGCTGAGTCTCGATTTTGTGTTCTTTGTGTCTTTGTTTGCTTTGTTAAAATGCGCGAGACGAATCTTTGCAAATGTTCTAAGTTCGAGTATAGTGAATCCATGAAGTTATATATTTTTGCTAATCTCCCTCATTTTAATTGCTACGATCGTGTTGTGGAACTTTCTATGGGTACTGTGGACTTGTGGGTTGAATTTGTAATTCTTACATCCCTGAGTCGAGAGATATTGCCCCAATCACAAATTGCTTAGATTGCTTAACCTCCGAAATTGCAATCTCATGCTCATGTCGGTCAGTCAGTCAGTGACTTACCTATTTGTCATCACACATTACGGTGTCATATTTACGGAGCGTCGGATGTGGTAGCCAGCCACCCAGACCCAAATGTTGCCTCTTTATTTTGTTTTGTCTTCTTTTTCATGGTCACATTTGACAATTATTTCGAATGGATTAGCGGGTGCGACTACCAAATGGCGAATGCCGTCTGAAAAGTTTTGTGGTCGCGTCCGTCGTCTACCACATGCAGGCATGAGTACAACATATAAGAACACACATACAGACGCATGCGTATGTAATTCGTACAAATAATGATACTAATAATAATAATCATAAATTACGGTTACATGGCAATTATCAAAGCAAAACAAAGTCATGACATTTGATTATTTTCTGGCTGTCTGTCTGTCCGTCTGTCTATTCCAAGAGACAAATTTCGTATAAAACAGCTTCCAGACTCGCAGTGCCTGGTGAAGTCTTGGCCAATTTCAGAAGGGCGAGGCAACCGAGTGTTTACTTCTCGCTTTTGACTGGTGATATATAAATGTATTTTTATTAGCACAAATGTTGTTTCTTTATTGCTCAACCGCTGATCTACCACTAATACACATACCTGCATATTTTTAAATAGCCTCCCATATTTATGAGTTTTAATGTAAACATTTATGCAAACTATACATATCCCGAGATTATTCACGAATTCTTAATCAGTTCGATAACCCACGAGAGACTCTTTAAACCTCATTGGCCAGTGTTCTACACAAGCGTCAATAAAGCGTGAACAAAGAATTCTATGGCAAATAATCGCGTTATGGAACAACAACAACGACATAGAAAAAACCTGTTAAGGCCATTTTGGAGACCATTGAAAAGACGTTGTGTTTTCTTCTCCATTGATTGTGTTTCGCCGCCTTAGTGACAGCGTCCTAACCGTAGATAGAACGGAAACTGCAAAACTATCTTCTAAATTGTGTGTAAGTGTGTGTATATTAAAACCACTGAAGGCAAATCTAATTAGGTCACACAGCAGACAAATCCAGACCTTAGACTTCTCTTGCAGTTCCTAGGGAAAGGAGAACACACTAAAATATGTTTCACAAATTTAGAAATTCACCTCTGTTTTCTTTTGTTTATAAAAAATAGTGTGTTTTGACAGTGGAAGAATTTAGAAGAAGCCCTTACGATGTATGCTATGAAACCACTCTTGTTATCAGAGTTTTACTCACCTGACGTTTATACTGGCGTCACTTGGGTGAAAAAGTCGATGCCATGGCAGTTATTTTAAAATAATTCCTGGGGAGAATATCCCCAGACAAAAATCCAGGGAACTGATAAGGATATAAGGCTCTGCCTTAATCCCTGGTAAACATTACAATCTTTATCCATGTTTACATTCTTGCAGTTCTTAATCAGACCAATTGTTGACTTTAGAGTTATTTGTGTTATTGTCGGGCGCCTACGTCACAAAGACAAAATATTCTATGCTGCACTACCATATATAGGCAATGGTCAGCGTAGTCGAACAGTCGACAAAAACCCTCTGAATTCATTCTCATCTACTGAACTTTTGGGATAACCGAAATAAAACATTCGAGTACGCCGGCGCACTGGTTTACTGACATTATAAATGGCAGATAACTTCTGGAACTTCTATTTTGCATTGGCAAAGACTCCGTCAATAACCATCATCTGTCTTCTTGTTTTCATTTTAGAATTTATCTGGCTTGGACTATAACACTATTATTGTTTAGACACAGAAACCAAAGACCCTCTGTTATACTCAACCATAACTATGGAAACTATGAACGCTACCAAAACAGACTACTGGAACTTTCTTTTTATCGAACTAGCTGGTGAGTAGAGTGCATGCAGTTCAATCCTAACATCATCTGTACATTTTCATTTGATATTTTCCTTTGGATCCGCAGACGAACGAACAAATGACTGGTTTCTGGTGAAATCGCCTGTGCCATTGTTCAGCTTGATTGGCTTATATTTGTACTTTGTACTGTCATGGGGTCCCAAGTACATGAAGGATCGCAAACCATTCCGATTGGAAAAGACCTTGATGGTCTACAACTTCTTCCAAGTGGCCCTTAGCGTGTGGATGGTCTACGACGTAAGTGGCAAGATGTTTTCCCATCAAACGCAATAATAATTTTGGTAATATTTCTCTCATTCAGGGCGTGATGATCTGGAAGGATTACAACTGGAGGTGCCAACCCGTTAACCGTTCGAGGACTCCAATGGCGTACCGGGTATGTGTGAACATTTTAGCATTTCATTGGAGCCTTTCTGAGTGTGTATCTTTACTTTTAGGAAGCCCGTGGTGTGTACGTGTACTTTATCGCCAAAATCACCGAGCTTCTGGACACCATATTCTTCGTGTTGCGCAAGAACGAACGTCAGGTGACATTCTTGCATGTTTATCACCACTCCGTGATGCCACTCATCTCGTGGGGCGCTACCAAGTACTTCCCTGGAGGCCATGGCACATTCGTCGGCTGTATTAACTCCTTCGTGCACATCATTATGTACACCTACTACTTCCTGTCGGCGTTTGGTCCTCAAATGCAGAAATACTTGTGGTGGAAGAAATACATCACCAACCTGCAAATGGTAAGAGGTCCACTTTTCGCTTCCAGTCGTATTGTGTCCGATAATTAATCTTTTTGCACCCTTCGTTTTCAGATCCAATTCTGCCTCATTTTCATCCACCAGACTCAATTATTGTACACCGAATGCAACTACCCACGCTGGTCGGTATGCTTCACGCTGCCAAATGCCGTCTTCTTCTTCTTCCTCTTCAAAGACTTCTACCAGAAGTCCTACAAGAAGAAGACTGCCGCAGCCGCTGAGAGCAAACGGAAAGCTGCTGAGCTGGCCGCCGCCAATAATAACAACAATATCAGCGGCTATGTTCCAGCCGAACCTAAGAAGGTACTCTAAGTTTGCGACATGGCCAATACGAAGAGAACGCCGTACCCGCTGTGTGAACCATTAACCGAATACACCCGACGTAAGAGAATATTTCTCAGACATCTACACCACTCGCCATCGTTTTTACTTCGGATAACGTTCACATGTGCAGCAGCCACTGTCCGGATGTTCAGAACCACCTGCTGTGTTAAATATCCCATTGTATTTTTCGGTATTTTAATATTAAGTCGTGCACCTTTCACAAAGGACCACTTGTTACCGTAGTCTTAAGTCATTGTCCAGTGTAAATATTCCTAGGGTTCTCGAGTAGCATTAAATGTTAATAATTTTAAGAATCAAGTACCGGTATTTAGGATATAAGTTGACGTGTTATAGCTTTGTTTTCGAAAATAAAGATAACACACCTTTTTTGTTAAAGAAATGTGCACTCTGTGACTCCAAACTGGTCGGATCAGTTCAATTATACAATACAAGTAATAGGCTCTGATGGTGGAATAAAGAGAAAACTCCTAAAGATGGCCGAAAAAAGTAGAAAAGCAACAAATACTGCCTCATACTTTGAGTCATGACAGCATAACAAGAAAACCCTTTCAGACCTGCTGACAGATATATAATGGAAATTCAAACTTCAAATAAAAACAACGGTTGCTTATGTCATGCGTATTCCCCCATTGGCTTAACTTCATTTTACTCTCCATTACAGAAGCAATGCTTTTCAAAACGATACTGACAGCTTTGTAATGCTTTGCTTATCGCTACCATGACTATGTGGATGTTTTTTCGACTTACAGAACTCGGTGAATTCTTAGTTAACAATGTACTGGATTTTTGGGAGAGGCAGGAAGAGAGCGTAATTCTCTTTCATTTGCGAATGCTGGACACGTATAAAGCTTGCTTTTCACCAAAGCCGCCATATAAAAAAACCTCAAAAAGCCAAGTGACCATTTCCTTCGCCGGAATGAAATCATGAGATTGGAAGCTATCAGCAAATATTGCAATGCGGCCAGATTCGATTCGCTCTCTGTTATAGACAGTAATAAGCAAAAGACGGGAAAACTGAAGGAAATGAAAAGACTTCTTTTCAGAAGCGTGTTCAATATATATTAAAATATTTAGTTCGTTACAAAAATGGTACATTTTCAAAAACATTTGGTTACAACTGAATTTGAATGTTTTCTAAGCAATTTTCATATGATTGAAAGGAACACACCGTTCCAGAACTGGAAGAATGTGAATTTTTTTACAACGATAACCTTCTTTCCCTTTATGATATCGAAGAGAATTGCAAAAATAGTAGACCCTTGTTAGTTCTGAAACACAGTATGCATTTTGCATGTTAGGTCAAGCAAATAAAAACAATTAAAACCGATTGGTAGCTGTGTCCTACCTTGATTTCATTATACCCTGGCATCGAAAGCCCTGATACCTAGTCTAAAATGTACAATATTTATATAAAACAGATGGTGTGGAACGATTTTACAGAGGACTTTTATTGAATTCTCTAGGTTGTAAATCCTGCAATATCCTTGAAGATAACAGTTGGACTCATCTAAAAAACATTAGTCACTATTTCAGACCCGAAATCCACAATCTATGAAATATTTAGAGAAATGTTTTTTTTAAGTCCATAATTTGATTTCTGAAAGGAACCGCTATTGAAATCCTTTGACTTGAAGGAGTTTATAATCCTCGAAAAAGTTCACTATTTTGCTACCTTGTATTTCTACCAAGCCTTTAGCTTTATTCGTAAAAGCAGCAATACAGCAAAATGTTGAATTCCCTTCGACTAGGCCAAAGTACGAAAGCACTACTTTTTTGAAAACTTAAAACAAAACATTTTCAAATCCAAGCGTTGGAAAAAAAGAACATTGCGAGCACGCTTTGAAAAATTGAACAGTTTGGATCATATTTGTGAAAGAAAATTCCGGCATTTCATTAAATTTAGTGCATCATATGCATATGTATTTTTTGATTTCAATTTAAAAAAGATTTTAGGTCATATGATTTCTTGAAGTGTTGCAAGGTTTGTACCTGCAGCGTCAACAAACATTAAGAGGAGCAATATAAAGGTATTGAAATTAAACCTTTAGGGAATATTTGTTCTGCATTTTGAATATAATTATCTAAATTCAAAAAATTGAAATTTTTGAAATTTTTGTTTACATTTACGGACATAAAATCGTGATCATATACAATTATTATATCCAAGGGCTCAATTCTTGCTATATGAAAATGTCAAATTTAAAATTTAATAAAGGAAAGAAACATGCAAATGAAAAAAAATATGAAAAAATATTTTTTAATAATTTCCTCTTTCGAGTTGAGCTTATGATGACCTAAGAAGATGCAGGTTCTGGAACAGAGCATATATGGTACAATTGGTATTATGTTAACGGATATAGTTTGAATTATGAAGCCTACAAAGTTTAAACCTCCCCATAATGGTAAAATGTTTTGTACCCAAATACGCCTAGTTCATATCTTCTACAACTTCAGCCCAATACCTTTGCTCGCAGCATCGAAATTTGTGAACCTTGAAGTGAACATTTTTTTAACCCGTTTAACATAAAATTGTGAGCGTACGTCTTAGTTTTTTTTTAGGTAGACTGACAATTTTGCGGATTCCGTTTTGTTAAAAGTTTAAGCCTTTGAATGAGAAACATTAAATATGTATTAGTATAGAAATATTGAATACGTCAAACTCGGCAGCCATTTGTGCACAGATACTTACCACTCCTAGATGCCCCTAACTCGCCAATAACCTTATAGATGGCTTATGTATCTACCTGTTCTGGTGAAAAAAAGAACAAAAACCAAATACACTGTTTGTCTCCATCTCTTATGAGATGAGCAACAAGAACCATACATATACATATATACATACACATGAATCTATGTGTACATGTGCTATTCTAATAACAATACCAGTGGAATATAAAATCTTCAAAATTCTTCATGAATTTTACCTTCAAAGAGAACACACAAACCCCTTTTGTCAAGGCGTGAATCTATTCGAGTTCTAAATAGCCGACAACAACTATCGTGAGCTGCTGTTAATTTGCTTAAAAACAGCAGCCTATCATCACACAATGCCCTCTTCTTCTTGGTCGCTTCGACTTTCCGGAAGTGAAGCTGTGCGAGGCAAAATGCTGCATCTTAATGAATATTTTCAAATACGATCTACGAAACACCCTAGACAATACCACTGCCCGCAGTTATAGTTAATTCGAGAAACGAGTTTTTCAACCGACGTTGCGGATAGTTATTAACATTGAAAATAAATAAAAAAATATGAAGCACTGTATCGATGTATTATGACATGAGAGGAATATTTTCCATGACATGACTAGGAAACACATTGCTTCTGCGTATAAATAAAAAATCAACACGGCTTTGATTTACTCTTCCGGGCCGGGTCATATTGAAATTATTACGTATGTGGATTTTACAGAATTATAAATGTTCTCCACTAGTTCAGAGGGAATAGAGAATCAAACATGATGCTAATGTAGATATCATTGTCTTTTGATGTATCAAATCAAAGATTCTTGGATCTTATACATCATTTTAAGCACTTTGATGATTTTTGTTAAATTTTCCTAACGAATTTGAAGTACTTTATTATTAGACATTCTCAATAGGTATCGAATCGTAAAGCGACACGGTCCAACTTTATGGAAAGTTCCAAAGTAAAGGTACTCCTCAAAGGGAAGTATTTATAATTTGAGATTTTCATTTCGAATGGCATAAAAATGTGCTTGCGAAAAAGGTTTGTCCTAGGCTCACACTTTCATATAATTTCAAAATCCGGACAGAAACGGATATATTACTCAATGATATTAGAAAATAAGCAACCTTTTACATCGTCAAAACCGAACCCTCAAAAATTATTAAGGTCAACTAAAATCCGACGTACACACTCATTTTTATGAATTTCACAAAAAATTCGCCTGGCCTACAAAAATTGTCGACACTTATGATCAATAAAACATTATGTCCAAGGTCAAAATCGTCAAAGTAAATTTCTTAATATTTTATTCCCGGTTCTAGTTAATAGATACGAAATCGTGTAAAATTTGTGTAAATATTCTTCTATAGAAATATAGAAATATACTTCAGATTTCAATGCAAAACTTTTTGGAATATATGAACTTGATTGGAGCGAAAATGACCATACGAAATCATGGGATTGCATACATAGTTATTGAGGAAATATTTTTGAAAAATATGTCCAAAATCATCCGAAAAACCAATATAGAGTCCTACCAAAAATGTGTACAATCGTGATTGAATAGCATTGCTGATTTTCATTGTTTGTGTTAAAAGTTCAACAAGTTCACAACTGACAATTTTTTTTACGTTGAAATTAAAATGGTATTAAAAATTGAGAATGTTTGCAATTGGAAAACGTCAGCGTATTTGGGTTATGTGGTCGTGGAAAACATTTTACCATACAGGAGAAGGTGGACTGAAATTGATGAAAGTTAACCAATAACCACATTTGTTCTTTTGCGAAAAAGACAGCCAATGACTGAAGCTTGAATAAACTTCATCTATGTATTCTCACCTTAATATCTCAAGGTGATCTGACTGGATAAATTGGTAGCAGTAAAATCCAGCAACTCTCAGTAACACAAGTGTCAAAATGTCTCTCTGGATTCTTTCTCTTTTACTGGACTTTCGAGTTAACAGACAGCATCCAGTAAAATTTGTTAACAATTGATACCAGATATTGAGAAAACAAATACACTTATTATAAATAAGTTCAGCTGCTTAACAAATGTGTAGTATTTATTATTTGTGGAAAAGCAATAAAAAGCAAATGCAAAAACCATTGCATATTTTGTGGCTGATTTGTGTGTGGCAAGAAATGCGACAGGGTGATACCAAAATAAAAAAAAAATATACTCACGTTTTAATAGCATTTTTAATGTAATATAAAACTAACTGGTAAATATTTCAAAACATAGTAAAGAAGAACAACCATTGTACAAGAAAAAGGTACCAGCTGATTACAATTTTTTTGTAATTTAATTTTTTTGTAATTTTTTGGTTTTCAAAATCAATGATTGGAAGACGCGTAAATTGACCTTCACTTTTTGAAGGAGGGTATATCAAATTTGTCTTTCCGTTTGTAACACCCCTAAATATTCGTCGTAAATATATAAATTCATGAACAGCATACAATTCTATGTCGATTTTACGACATAACGACATATATATGTGTAAAAATTGGTATTTGTACTTCATAATGGGTAGCAGAACATTGAGTATGTAGGTCCGCGTTTTTCTATAGTGAACATATAACAGTACATTCGGCAATTCGGTATTTTGCCGATTTAAGCTATATTTTGTAATGAATTTTCGTAAAATTTTACATTTTTTTTGTTTATAACGGGTTCTACAACCAGTGTCAAAACATTGTCCATATTAGTCCACTGTTTCCATATAACCGTACCCACCGATAATCAATATTTTGATTATTCTAGTCAGATTTACTATTACATCTATTATTACATCTTCCATTCAACATAAATATATTTGGTATAAATATTTCAATGTCAAGTCCAAAAAATAGAATTTTATTACGAAAGGGTTGCTCAATATGTAGTACGCCTTTTTCAATTCCAAACATTTTCTATCATTGGCCTTTACGATATTTAGATACGAAAATTGAAACAATTCCTGTAAATATTGTAAGTATATCATCAAAATACCGCATATAGGGAGGTACCGCTACATGGGGACCCGTCACAGACTATAGTACCTATTACGAACTTACAATGCCTAATTTGAAACAATTCCGGATAATGTCACTAAATCATTTCAATACCGAATATAAGGAGACTACACCAAAACTCGGACCTATATTAAGAGTTGTATGCTGGATGTTTCTTACAAAGTGGGAACACGTACTGCCAAAAACAAAAAATTGGCTAAAAATCTGTCGGAGGATATGAAAAAGGTAAACGGTTTTGGTAAAAAATAAAACAATAAAGCTCCATAATTAGAATAACAATAATAATTCGATTCCTTTTTATTGGCATAGCTTAAGAACAACAGCTTACATACATTTACATAGGTATACTCATGTATCATCCAAGTGTTACATGCTTACATACATTGTATGTGTGTTCATATGTGTATTCGGTTCAAAACGATTGCTCGGTTCAGCGTGTGCGTCATGGCCTCTACGTGGCTCCTCCCCGCCCAAGGAACCGGAACGACAAACTTACATTCGTACTGCTGTGTCTATGTTGCACCGCCTCATATATCCGCACAATTTACAAACATACCTTTTTTACAGACTAAACAAACAATCAGACATACATATCACATTCACTCACAAAGTGCCGCCAGCCACCTTGGCTCCGGTAGAGGACATGGGTTGGCGACTTATCCAAAATTTAGAAGAAAGAATTTGACTGAGAGAGAGAGAGAGAGAGAGAGAGGAAAGGAAGGGTGCTCGATTCAAACCTACTTAGGGAGTAACTAAACAACATTAAATAAACATAGAAACGGGAAAAATAAAGCGGATTGAAGACACACATTTCGAAGATGGCTTATAACTAGTTTAACTTAGGCGAACTATTTAAAAAATAAAAACCCCCCGGACACCACGGACTCCATCTACTCGGCTTTGGTCGATTTCATTGTGTTGTTGTTACTGTCGATTAGTCGTTTCATTTGGTCACCCTGTGACAAAAATGCTTTGGATGGAACACAGCCCAAGCCGTTGGCAGCTCTGAGGGCGGCGTTCGTGGCTCCGCCATCCTTGGTCTTGTAGGTTCGCTTGTAGAAGTTGCCGAAGAGGTAGAGGAAGATCATGGTGTTGGCAATGAAGAAGAATGTCAACGACTTTGGCATGTTGCAACCCTTGAGGGCAATCGTAACCATGTAGGCCATGATAAGAACGAATTGGATCAACTGAATGCTGGTCATGTACTTTTTCCACCAGAGGTATTTCTGGTATTGGGGTCCCATGGCGGCGACCATGTAATAGAAGTACATAACAATGTGGACACCCGAGTTCAGGATGCCAATAACCACACCTTGTTCGCCTAGATGAAAACAGAAAAAAGGACATCATTGACAAACACTGGACAGGTTTCCGCATACCCAATTATACATACCAGGGGCATATTTCAGGTACATCCAGGAGAAAAGAGCGGTAATGGTGTGGTGGTAGACGTGCAAGAACGTCACTTGATTCTGCTTCTTACGCAGCACGAAGAAAACGGTATCCAGTAAATCAATGATCTTCGAGAAGAAATAGAACCACGCTCCCGAATATAAATCAAGGCTTTGTTCGCGAGTTCTGTAGATTTCGCACTTTTTGGACATTAGCGTTTCGGCTATGCGACCTTCCCGGATGGACTGCGAAACAAGAGAATAATTTTCATCTTAATCTTAATCCCCGACCTCAAAGGCTTTTCTCATACTCACCGTGCGACACATCCATATGGAATAGCAGACCTGGAAGGCGTTGTATACGATCATGATATTCTTCAATTGGTATGGCTTACGATTCTTCATAAATGCAGGTCCGATTTTTAGTACAAACAATAAGTACACGGCCACAATGCTAAATACCGGACCGGGAGAACTCATCAGGAACCAGCGGTCGATGGTTTCGTCTGCAAAGATGCAAATCAAATGCATGCAATTATCGTATATAAATAGGGGTATATCCATTCCACAGGGAATCTAAGGCTGTGAGAGAATAAAATACATACCCACTCCCTTGGAGAGAGTTACATATCGTTCGTTGAAGTCTCGCATATAGGTAGTCATAGTGTCTTCTGTGATATCTGGAATGAAATCAATGAATACAGATATAATAATAAACTCATGAAAGGGGAGGGGGGGGGGGGGTAGGGAACTTAGGGGTTGATTAGCCCAAAAGTCCATACTCGTGGCCAAAACGGTGACAAGATCCTCCAAGCCGTTACCCAATTAAACATTCGTTTCACTGAAGATTGACATTACAATTCAGAGTTGAGTTCACTGACGGCTTTTGGCTATAAACCTCAAACTTAGACAAGTAAAACACTTGCGTTCTCCAAAAGCCACAAAACCAAAATCTTGCCTCCGAACATTTGTGTACGAATATTTCAGCCTGCTCACCCCCTGAAGTTTGTTAACCAAGTGCTTTTGCCATTCATTTGAACTTTAATAAATGTTTGTAACCTCCCTCTCTGATCAGTTAGTTTGGTACAGCAGACATATTGGCCTACACTTGTGTGTATGTGTGCATGAGTCTAACACTTAATATGGGCGATGTAGTCAACTAAGCCGCCAAAAAGAATTACTTCAGCAACAAAAACTCATTCTAATGCTCTCCTTGCTCCCAGGGATCTTGCGCGGGATGTTCGTAAAAGTCCTTAGTTGGTTTGTGGCAGTGTCTACCGCCTCAAGAAGAGTTGTTGCAAAAGGGACGCGACACCGCTGCTGACTTGCATTTATGCCGCCAAGTCACCTATTGACAAGAGTAGCGTGTATGCCTGTTGATCTTGTGAAAACACATGGCTTGGAGGTGAATAGTTTGTAGCGAGTATTTGCACGCCAACCGAACACCTTGCCCACAAATCAAGTTAGAAGATAGAAGTCAAGGCAGTCTTCTTCTGTTCAAAAACGTCTGTTGGAATTTTGCTGTTTGTTGTGACAAAAATGCAATAGCATGAACATGGAAAACATGTGGCACCGGCACCAGGGCATCGAGTGTCGAAATTAATTGCAAATAGTTCCAGTGGGAAACTACTACACTAGGACACAATTCATCTAATTACGGCACAAATATTGGGATGTGCGGAGTTTGGCCAAAATCGGATATTCGCTTCACAAAAACGTAGCTTTTTTTGGAAAAGGTTAAGAAACTTCGATTGACTATATTTAATATCATGCAAATGGAACGAATAAAAATTCCAAACATAATGTCATAAAACATAATATATACGGAAGCTGTATCTGTATGGTGAACTAATTTACATTTTTTTTTTCAGACACCAATAGGTTTTCAATATTTCGGATTATTTACGTTGTAATTAAGCAAAGAGTTCAGTGAACTCTAGTCCAATATACAACTAGATTTCAAGTGTAAACGACGGACGTCCTCAGTAATGGTATTTCTTCAGCCCTGTATGAGTGGAGGCTGGGACACAATATATTTGAACGAAATACCAAACATAAATACCAATCTTCTCCGGAAACGTAACAACAATGCCGATTAATGTAAATCAATTCAGCTTTGAAATGGTAAACTTTTATTTGGTTCGAGAACGAAACAGGTTCTTGTTCCAAGAAGTATGGAAAACGTGGCTAAGCGTGGCATAAATTTTCTAAAATGTTTTGATTTTTAGTGATATTTGGCCAAGTTTGAATTTAAACAATTCCTTTACACTGTTGCAATGTGAAATTTTCAAAAACTACTTAAAGTTTCCAAAATTGAAATCGTATTCCAATTCAATTTGATTGCCGGGCAAAGGAGAGAAATAGTGCTAAGGGGTTAGTTGTAAATAATTCACTCATTCATATAACACATCGAATTGTACGTCATCGCCAAAAAAAGGTCATTAATTGAAGCAGGTTTACAATATTCCTATCGACCTGTTCGTATTCAAATTAAATTAGCCATAAAACAAATTATTTGGAGTACATAAATATTGTCCTAAAATTCAATTATGGAATTATTAGCCGTTTTTCAACTCCAAATTCAACCTTGAATACGGACCGGTTCTCGTCCGATCTGTAAGTTCAAGGTTGTGAATGATATATCGCGGAATTGCATACACATACGTCATCATATTTTATAAATTATTTTATTTTCAATCGAAGTATTTGTAAAATACTCTGTGACAATGCTTGGAACAGCATTAAGATAAAATTTGAATTCCCGATTTTCCCCATATGATATCGTAGACCGTTGCAAAACTAGTAGATTCTTCCATGTTCTGAAACATACCTACTGTTACCGCACGATACATTTAAAATGGGAAACAATTTTGCAATTTTCTCGATATCATAAAGGCAAAATCGGTTATCCCAGTAAAAACTTTGGCATTCTTGCAGTTCTGGATCAGACCAAACGTTTACATTAAGAGAACAATAATGTGGCCTGATTGCAGGTAAAATAGACCAGTTGTGTTGTTTTCCTCTTTTCTAGACTTTTTATTGTCTCATTTTCGCAATTGTCTTCGGAATAGCGAATGCACACTTTTCTTCGAGGATTGATACCAAAAAGCTGCCACGACAAAACGACAGTGCGGTTCCTAATTCATAATAAATATTAATCAATTAAACCATTGATCTTTCATAAATATATTATTAATTAATTAGTATGTTCCCCAATGGCGATGGTAATGCGTGTATAAATGTGTATGGGTAATTATGCGGAAGATACTTCGAACCACCATTCATAGCTAGAATTTTGCATTAACAACAATGTGTTACGTATCGATAATCAATTCAGCACACGTTGGCCAGCACATGCGGACCGACCGGACGGACGATTGTTTGCGTACACCACGTCCACATCCATATTCAGATGGCGCGCTTTGTCAACGCCGCGACTACCATGGAGGCGACATACAGTGGGCCAGAGCCAGAACCGACTGTGAGAGAAGAGCCCGACGACGTGCTAAAGTGTACGACAATAAAGTAACAAATAATTCAAAAACAATGTTATCCGAAATAGCCAAAACGTTGTGGGAATATGAGATACTTTTGATTTGCTTTGTCAGCTGCTGAAATGCATCTCTGTTTTTGTTAATTTCATAATAACGTACGTAACGCACATTACAGCAGAACGTTAGAAAAATCGGAAGGTGTCGCTGGAAACTTTGCAACCTCTACGACCGCCAAGCAAAAAATTACGAGCAGTGCAATACCTCGACATGAATCCTTTGCAATCGCGTTCTATTATCACTTCAATTGCAATGTTACAACGGCTATGACTGTTCAACGGTGTTCTCCGCCAATGTAAGGTCGAATCGCCGGATCGGCATATTCGTTGAAATATATGTGCTCGTTCATATTCACCCACCATCGCAAATAGTTCAAATGTCCAATGGCAGGTGATTTGGTTTTGGCCTATTTTGTACACCAAAGTCAGTCCGATATCCCAGAATCAGAATCGACTTTTCCTGTCATTTATCAGAATCGTCCATTTATTTGGGATGGCAAATGACAATTTTAGTTCGATTTGACGTGTTCGGCATAGGAAATTATGTCGGTTTCGTTGTCTGCATTGATTGCTCAGCTGTGTGCGCCATTCAGACAAAGGCACACAGAGAACGCAACACAGACGCTTTGTGTCACAGCAGAGTACACACGTACCTACATACTTGAATATGCACGATTCCGTCGAAGATACCTTATATAATACTAAACATATATATAAATACATATGTATGGGGTGTATATGTATATACTAAAAGAGGTGTTCGATAGGGGTGATATGATTTGCGAAATCCTAAAATACATCCCAGTCGCCTACAAATGTTCTGAGTTGATGTAAAATAACGGACAGTTAACTTTATTTGTTAACTAACAAATTGTATATACTAGGGGTAACTGTCGTTGCTTTGGATAGTGTTACTGTGAATCCGCCTTGGTTGACATGCTTTTCGGAACAAAACTAATTAACCTCCAAACGATGGGTATAAAACAATTCGGTACAATTGTCTACACATTTTAATAGACAAATTAATTCAGCAATACCGAAACACATTGTGTCTATGAGTGAAACTAATTTATGTAAATATTTACATTTTAAACAATATCCCACGAATAGCAGAAATAGGTCTATGTCGGCAAAATAAGGAAACTATTTTTGTGACTAAAAGGCTAAAGGGGCGTAGACGTCCAAAGGGTGTAGCAGTCTTCCGAATTTATTTACCTTCGACCTTTAAACCATGACTGCGATAACAAATGGGCGCAATTGCAGATTGGAGGACGTATTTCAAACCTACGGGCGATTTAAGATTTATCTGAAGACCTCATTGGCGTTGTAATTGTTTGACGCATTGGCTCGGCGAGGCGAAGCTTAGACTGTGCGTCTTTACGCTGTGCTTCTCTAATTAAGAATTATTTGATTTGAAGACAATGGAAAAATATTCTCGCATTCACGCCATCTGCTGCTGTTCAGGTGTTTGAAAATTACACGTTAACCATAATTGAGGCGGTTATTAGCCATGACTCAAAAATGTCCAATTTTGTACTTATCTACTGATGATAGTGAGCCAGGGAAATGTGTCTTCTGCTGATTTGACACATGTCGTCATCTGGGCTCATATTTTTTTCACCTCACCCTCCCCCCAACATACTCGTTCATATGCACATAAATACATAAATATGTACATACGTACATACATAATTCTGTTTGAATACTGCTCCAGCGGCGGATACAGCTGGCACTTGTACTAGTTTCGTTCGTCTTCATTGCCAGAATAGAGTGTGAAATTCAAAAACTGGCGTTCCTACTACGATCACGACAAATTTGTTTAAGTGACTTAAATATGTTTACTCCGAATGATTTGGTCAATATTTGTTTGTAAAATTGATGTGTTAACCCTTCCATTAAACTGAGAACAATTGAGTTTCGACAGATTTGACGGTCCAAATGGCGTTCTATGGGAATTTCTTATCTATTTTTGGTGCCAAATGTATGCAAGTATATCGTTTTTGTTTTTATGTATTTCGTTGGGGTAGAGGTGGTTGGTAATGGCCTGTGGAGTAGTCAAGCAGTCTGATCCAAATTCATCTAGGAGAACACAGTAGTTGTGGGTGGGGGATAAAATGTCAATTTAAATAGGTCCGAATAATTCTGGTCTAAACACATTTGTAATAATTGTAATGTTGGCTTGTTGTTCCAAAGTTTGTATCTACATCAGGTGCCATTCGACGGGCCAACACTCTGTTCTTTGGAAAATTCTAAATCAGAATTACTCTCAGAAAATTACATTTGCTTTGGGTTAAGGTCAACAAGAAAAAGCAAATCTTAAAAACGAAAAAAAAACATTTTAGAACTGCATTTGAAGCGAATGCAGTCGACTGAGATTTAAAGAATACAACAACAAGAACGACGACACAAACGAATTGCAGAGAAGTAAAATGTACTCAAGTAAGTAGCCTGTTTTGTACAACTGACGGATTCGATTTTAGTCCGCCAGACACACACACGCACACACACACATGCATTGCCATAATATCAACGTATTCTTAAATATTTTCGGGTTTTGTGATTTTCTTAAAATTTAGCATAAATTTCAATTAACTTCTTTGAACGCACCCGACTAGACGCACTTTGGCCACTCACACATCCGCACAGAGAAGTTTGTGTCAAATTGGAAATAAATCGTTTCCGCTGTAGATTTCTTTGTTTCAAAATCAAACCAACTCACTTTTGTTTTCGTTTCAGATGTTAAAATCCGTTTCCGCTTTTATCCGTTTTTGTTTTTTGACTTTTTTTCAACTTTCCAGGCCGCGATTCCTTTCGGTTCTTAACCGTCAATGCTGCCAAGAAGACATCAACTGAACGTTAGACCGCTTTCGACGGTTCTATAAATAAAAGTTTCGAGTTGTTACTTCGTAAACGGCACAATTCGATTTTGAATTCTCAGTTGCTAGTCGCTCGTTAAATTGGCCTAGCTAACAGACGATTTCAGAGATGTTCAAACGAACGAGCGAGTGAGCAAGCTTGTAGCAATAAGCACATTTCTGTGCCGAAAACCCCCACATGTGTGGTTGTGAATACAGACACACACACCAGTACACATGAAATACTACGAGAGAGATGGTACAAACAAGTATGGAATAAAAGACCAGTATATTTTTCTAAAAGAAATAGCTATTGCCAATATTTTTTTGTTGGCGTTAAGCCGCCACAGAAATTTCAAACCTTCCACTGGATGTACATGTGTATGTGTTATTCTGCAATTCCTCCGCAACCACATACATGCAATTTGTATTGTATGTATGTACTGTTTGTCAGGAACCAGAACAAATTAAAATATCGTAAGAAATATATTTTTGTTCGACGTATAGCTTTGTTCTTTTACGTTCAAGAGTCGAGAAGAACCAAAACCTTAACATAAGATGCCGTACCAGGTACACAAACACTAATCCTAAAACATGTTGTAGTTATTCCTCTGTCCCAGAACCAGAATCTACTAGTTTTGCTAAGGAAAATCGGTTATCGTAGTGAAAACTTTTACATTCGTGCAGTTCTAGAACCTACCGGCTAAAGAGTTCTTTTTATACCCTACACCACAAGGTGGTCAGGGTATTATGTCTTTGTGCATTTGTCTGTAACAGGCAAAAGGAAACGAGATATACCCACAGTTCCTTTTGATGATCTGCATAGAATCACATTCTGAGTCGATTTATGCATGTCCATCCGTCCGCCTGTTCATGTATTTTTGTAAACAAAGTACAGGTCGCATTTGCCCGATTCAGATGAAATTTTGCACAGATAATTTGTTTGACCCAAGGACGAACCCTATTGAAATTGGAGATAATCGGTCAAAATTTAGGTATAGCTCCCATATATATTTTCGTCCAATTTGCCTTATATTGTGCTCCAAACTTGTAATATCGGCCCAAATACGTACGACCAGATTATAGCTGAAATAAGTACGCCAAATTTGATCGAAATCGGTTCAGATATAGATATAGCTCCCATATGTATTGTTCACCCGATTTGTTATTTTTGTCCTCCGCAGCCGTAATATCCACTCTGTAATAACGATATTTGGGGAAAAATATATGAAATATAACTCAGAAATACCCTTGCTAAATATTATCGGTTAATATTTGGATATAGCTCCCATATATATCTTCGTCCGATTTGCCTTTTATTGTGCACCAAACGTGTAATATTAGCCAAAATGGAGTGGAATTTGGTACTTACGATCAAATTGAGTCTTGAAACCAGTATGTAAAATTTGGTGGAAATCGGTTCAGATATATCTATAGCTCTAATACATATTGTTCATCTGATTTGTTGAATTTGCCCTGCATAGCCTTAATTTGGACTCTGTAGTAACGATATTCAGGGAAATATATCAAATGCAGCTCAGAAAAACCTTTTCCAAATTTTAACGAGATCGGTTCAGATTTAGATATAGCTTTCATATATATATCTATCCGATTTTAAGTTAATTGTGCACCAAATGGATAATACAAGCCCGAATTGAAAAGGCGCAAATGCCTCGACAAATTTAGTAGAAATCGATTCAGAGGAGGATATATATATAATCATATTCTCACAAATTCCCCATTAAAACTTTCATTTGTTATGTTAAGCTCTACTAAATATGCAAAGTGGTTAAGGGTATCATAAGACTTTCTTTACTGGTTTAATTTTGTAAACATCCCCCTGTTTTAAATATAATTGTATCACTTAGGATTTTTTCCCCAAGAATTCACGAAGTTGTGCAATCTATTTCCCATTTACGTCGGAAATGGTATCCTTTTTTCTAATAAGCATACCTTCTTGAATTTAACTGACTAGGAAACAGGCAACTTTCTTAGATCTGTTTAGATACAACGGATGTAGAAAATACATTTCTACAATGATATGTAGCCAAATGTGTAATTTTGAAAAATTATGATTGCACGAGGCTACATTCTTAGTCTACAATGGGAGAGTTTTTAATTTTACATTCTCAAATAAAATAATCTTGAAGGTTTGATTGCATAATTTTGATGTCACTTGACGGTGCAACTGTTGAGGCCCTGAGACTTAAGCCCGTTTTCAGTCAGAATTATACAAAATTAGATGCAAACAGTTATTCTCATTTCTTGGATATATTTTTTCATTTTTAAAGTGAGTTAAAAGTTGTTTCGTTTCTTAAACAATTTAACAACTATAATTGGACAATTTTCATTCATAATTTTACCCTCCACCTAAAAAGGGAGGGTATATTAACTTTTTCATTCATAATCAGCATAAAATTCTAAGTCGATTTTACGTTGTCCGTCTGTCTGCCTATTGAAATCACGATACAGCCCACATAGTATATTTGCGTAGAGCTTAATATTTGGCAGAGCAATTTGTATTTTGTCTAGGATAGTTGGTATTGAAAATGAGATGTATCGGTCCACGTATAACCGCCATATAATGGTACCTACGGATATTCAATATTTTGATGATTGTTGCCACATTTATCCACGGATTTGTCTAAAAAAATGGTATTTCTAGGTCATAATGGGTTCTAGCTCCGGTGGCGAAACATGGTATATATAGGTTCACATTTAGGTATGGCCCCCTAATTACAGTACCTCCCGATAGACGGTGTTTTGATGAATTTTGCCACATTTTCCCACGGATTTGTCTACAAAATTGGTATTTGTATATTGGGTTCAAGCTCCTGTTGCAGAACATTGAAAATTTATGTCCACGTTATCTAATTATACCAAAAGATACTCGGTATTTTGATAATTTGGTATTTAGGAATATTTGGTAAATGACAATCCTTAAAGTATAAAATTGTCCATGGAGGTTTTTTTAAGTTTAACTGCATTATTATTTTTACTTGTTTGTTAATCATCTTTGCAGCTGTCTGGACGCCTACGTTGGATTGATAAACTTTGATATTTGACAACTAATACACGAAATCGGTTGGCTTGTCTTTTGTAAGCACAGGGTTATTCAAAATTGGGAAACAAATCTAAAAGGATCTCTTAAATATGTATTCATATTTTTGCAATTAGTTTTGGAAATTTGTCACAGACAATATTAATTATTTTGACAAGTAATATGTGAACTCACATCTCATTTCTTTCCCATGTTCCGCGAAGTTCTGTTCTTTATTTTTTATTTATTTTTTGTAAAATTACAACGGCCGTACAACGAACCGTATCTTCTGAGATGATTATTTGCAATGCAACCCAAAAATTTAAGAATAACTCTTAAAGTTACAAAATAGTCCGGCTTAATCCCATTATTGTTGTTTTTTTATTAGTGGGTAGAAATGGTAATATTTAGGAGGGATAAGAAAAAAGAACCTCCTCAGGAGTTATTAAAAAATACTCCTTTCACGGCATCTTTTTATGTGTCGATCTCAAGCAAGTAGAACCAGATAATTAAAAAACTAAAATTATTTGGCATTTCATTTACACCTTTCCCCACTGTCATGCGTTCGTTTACCTGTACAAAATTAGCCTAACCATGTAAGTTGGCTCTGTCTGTTACAACAACAAAACATTCCTCGACCGTGGCTTACCTATTTATAATAATAAATAATTGTTTTTGCTTTTATAAAAACAACAACAGTGGGATTAAACCTGATTTTGCAACAGTAAAATAACTTCGGCATGCCAAAATAAAATACCAATGCTCTCGTAGACTTAGACTTATAGCTACAATCCAAATTCGAAATAATGGCACTAGGCATTCCGCCAAAGTGGGCGAACTGCAATATTACAGAAATGTCATTCTATGTTTACAAATTCGATATAACTGGTAAAAAAAATGTCAGCATTCTGCAAGCACACATCACACGCGACCATACAGATGCAGTCTCATCCGGAAACGAGCAACATTTGTCAATGACCCATGCTCGGCATAAATACTCCATAAATACATACATGTGTATGTATGTGTATTTTGTATCGTCATTTCATCGGACTATATTGTTGGTGGTAGGTTGATAACCTCTTTGGTTTAAGCGGCGAGAAAACCTAAAGAATCGCTAACTGGATTTACTAATAATCGAATGGCTCGCACTTGTGCGAACATGCAAATGGTCAAGATAGTTTTTGAAGTTCGGTTACTACGTTTAACAGTTAGGCCATAGACAAATGCCGAAACCTGGTCAAGGCACCGAATGAAGAGAAATGAAAGAAATCGATGGCAAAAATATCATAAAAACCGTTTGTCTATTTTCAAGGTGAAGTTCATGAACGGAAGTATTTTAAACAAAAACAAAAATGTGAAGAAGAAGAAACAAAAAGACCACGAAGAGTAAACAAACTAACGCGAGTTGTTTTTAATGTCCCCCAATATGTAAGCATACATAAATATATAGTAGTTACCTTTTAGTAAAAGCGAACCATGGTACGATAGTTTTCAGCTAAAACAAGTCTGATAGAATTAGAGCAAAAATTTTAAAAAGTATAAGTCGGTTGCCGACTGATATACTTACAGGCCTACCTAATTCCCGACTCACCGCACAAAAATAACCGCCTTCCCCACTATGGTAAAAATTTTCGTATGACCTTTTCATAGTACAATAAATTCCAAGTTAGGGCAGAGCAAGCACCTGAATACAATCTTTTCTTTTGGTTGTATTGTAATATCAAAACATATATACAGTTTTTGTACGTGTATGTACTGCTTGTTGCAGTTGTTATTGCTATTTTGCTATTTTTTTATATAATTACCAAGCTGTATTGTATTTTTGGTATGTTGGGAAGTCTCCCAATGGAAGCATTCATATGAATATCGCTCTGTTCCAGAACCTGCAAGAATCTACTAGATTTTAGATTCATTCCACCAGTTCATTTTAGTACTCAAAATTCACAATTGGTTCAAATTCCCGAACAAAATTTCAGGATTTCTGGCCTATGCCTTCACCCAATACTAGATTTAGTAGCATTTAATTCTTTTCGTACAGTTAACGTACGCATTTTCAAAACAATCTCCATATCTCAACATAAGATACCAACAGTGATCTTAATATCAAATTTCAGGATTTTAGTTCAGTAATTTCTCAGCATACCCAAAGTTAGTAACATTTATTACAATTGCAATACGCATATCCAAAACCATATCTTAACCGCAGAAACCAACAGTGACATCCATATCAAATTTCAGGATTTCAGATCTATTCATTCACACAACATCAAATTTAGTATTATTTGTACAATTACAGTACAAATTTCCAAGCCAACACCATTTACATATGAACCAGGCTACATATGAACCGCGACCCTAATACTAAATTTCATATTTCAAGACTATATACCAAATTGTAGTTAATGTAGTACTTTTCATGCACTTTTAGTACAAATTTCAATAACTACATTTTGTCGCAAACCTACAGGGACTCCAATACAAAACTGTTCCAAATTTAGTACCAATTAATGCAGTCCGCACACTAAGCACACATTTCCAAAACAACCTAAATGTATAAAACGTACCTTCCAACCTTGATTCTCATACCAAATGTCAAGTTTTTAGCTATATCTGTTCACATAATACCAAATGGTACCATTTAGAAGTTTAGTACCCTTTTTTAAAACTTTTCGTAACTTTGAAGTGCAATTTCGAAAAACACTTTGATGCATCTATCCTGCACTCTGTGACTCTTATTCGAAATTTCAGAATTATTGCTCATACCAGTTGTCCAATACAGAGTTTTCTATTTATAGTATTTCAAAATTCTAGTTTTACCCGTTTCGCCTGGGCGTTGATTCTTATATTATATATCATTTTTATCATATTGCATATGTCCACTACTTTGTTTGCGAATGTTTTATGTTGTTTTCGCAGAAAACTGCATATGTCAGAAAAGCTAAATAAGCATTCTTGAAATTTTATTGTTTATATAACTTATGCATTTTTTTCAAAACCACTTCACAACACCAAAATTCATAAGTCCAACTCTATCCGTATTATCAATTCTAAATTGTGTACCACTTATGACCTTTCGTACTCTTGTAGTACTTATTTCCAAAAATAATATGTTTATATATTAAAATAATAATAGGTTCATCCAAATCCAATTTGTACCTCAGTTGGTACCATTTAGTTCACATGAGTACAAATTTCCACAAGTTGTCACGTAAACCAATTCTGTACTCCCACAGTAATCTTAATTCCAAATTTAAGGATTTCAGCCCTATAGTTTGAACCTAATCCAAATTATACCAAATTTAGTACAACTTTGTGCATATACTAGTCCTATAGTTTAACAGTAATATTAATTCCGAATTTCAGGATTCCAGCTCTATCTTTCCACTCACATCGAGATTTGAACAAAATTAGTACCATTTAGTACTTTTCGTGCACAGAAGAACAAATTTCAAAAACAAACTCCATGTCCTAATTCTACACTCCGTCAGTTATGTTAACTTCCAATTCCAGGATTCCAGCTGCATCAAAATAAAAATTCGAATTGTACCAAATTTTGTACCGTTTAGTGTTTATCGTATACATGAGTACTCATTTCCAAAACTATCTCCTTACATCGCCCTAGTCCCTTAATCTTGATTCCCATTCCTTATTTCAAATGTTTAGCTCTAAAGCTGGGAATACATAAAGCGCTTATTTGGCTGGCTTAAGTCATCGGCTGGCTTCTTCGGAAATGAACAAAGGAGCCTAGGGCCAAAATCGAACTAGGTCAACCTAAAACTCCTTTGTTCATTTACGAAGAAGCCAGCCGATGACTTAAGCCAGCCAAATATGCGCTTTATGTATTTCCAACCTAAATATTCACATGATACCAAATGGAACCAAATGTAGTACATTTTAGTTCATTTCGTAAACTTATAGTGCGTCTCTGGGCGTTGATGAATTATTAAGTAAGGTCGGTACTTTTACAATCTGTTTTAACTGCTTATTGTACCGTGGTATTTATTTGTCTCAAAAAAAAAAAATATATTTTTAATAAGATTACCCAAAATGTTACCATAGTGGGGAAAAACGTTTTTTGTTGTAGTTTTCTTCCACCTTTTAATAGTTATTGATCTGTTCCAGAACTGCGAGAATGTTAAAGTGTTTACTACGTTTATTAATTTTCCTTAAATGATATCAAAAAGAACTGCAAAAATAGTAAATGTGTTTTAAACGCTAGAGTTTTTTTCTAGAGCTATTACTAATAAATACCAGGGCCTCAATTCTTGTTCTATGAAAATGTGAAATGAACACTTTTTTAAAGGAAAGAAATGTCAAATAAAAATTGTACAAAGGAACTATTTTTCATTTCATATTTTCATAGAACAAAGATATGGAATTGAATAAAAATTGTATAAAGGAACTATTTTTCATTTCATAATTTCAGAGAACAAAAATATGGAATGGAATAACAAATCACAGGGTTTCAGTTTATGGTCTATAAAAATCTGTCATGCATGAAAAGGCGACAAATGTTCAATGTAAAATTGTATACACAAAATAATTTTAGCTTTATTGTTTATTATTTTGCTTCGCCAAATTTGGAAAATATACATAAAATACCATATTCTCATTATGACTAGCGATGTTTCGAAAATACGACTTAGATCTATAATAACCAACTTGGGACGCATCCAACAATAGTTTATAAGTTTAGGACGATTTCTACTTTTTCTACGTTTTATATAGGTTGTGAAGTTTTGGACGTTTACAACTTTTTGAAAGTGAAAGAAAGAAACCTTGACTCTCACTTTGGCATCCAGCGATGCGACCGCTGCCAAAAATCTAGCTAACAATCGATTGTTGTGGAAACTGTGATTGTTGATCTGTTCCAAAATATGCAAGAATCTTGTAGTTTTGTAGATATCATAATGGAAAAATTGGCTATCGTTGTAACATTGTTTACATCCTTGCAGTTCTGGAACAGAGAAATTGTGCATCCCATCTTTTAATAATTACGACGAAATGGACGATGTACTGACCATAGCTATGATTGTTCCCTATCTTTTTCCGTTTTACACCTTCGCCAATAAACTCACTTTTCTTTCCGCCAAACGTTCAACCTTAGAATACGGTTTACCCAATTAATTTACTGGCTCCTCTTTAGTTGCCTTTTCTTTATTAGTTATTGGCAGCACTTTTTAATTCAGATGCCGACACACCTGTTTCTTGCCGCCGTTGTCTGAAAAATATACCCATCTTTGTTTTAAGCATTTTCATTTCAGAAATTGGAAATTTTTATACGTATAAATTAAAGTTGTTGTGGACGATCGTGAAAAATATAATTGGGAAATATAGTGTAAACATATTCAATTTTCAAGTGGTTAGTAGCAACAGACGAAGAACACTATGTCCAAAGTTTCTTTGAATCTCAAGCAAAATTGTGAATGTGGTGAAATTGCCAATCAGCCACAAATAATTGGGGACAGTGAAAAAACGTAATATTGAAATCTTGATATCTAGAAGCGAAATATTGCATTAAATTCATGCACACTTGTACATATATTTCAGTGCTAGCTAGTCAAATGTTCGCCCGTAAGAATAGTGTCCCTTTTCCATAATGGTCAATCAAATTTTTCCATTTTTTATATAATCATATTTTTACATGTATGTCTCTCTGTCTGTAAATGCATTGCATTATTATTTTTGTGTATGTAGGGCTGCCTTCATTTGTATTTGTTTTCGTTGTATCAATTTATTATATTTTCAATGCTTCTAATTTCACTTGATGAACAAAGATTGCAGTCCCAAAGATGATCTTTGTACTTTCCGGACAAGGGAGTTCGACCCAAGATAAGCGATAGGCAAACACGAGAATTGTAAAACATTCCTTTTTACGCTCGGAATTTACACATAACGTTCGTTTATCCGAATAAATGTCCCACATAAATTCTCAAAACTTCCCCAAAATTAGATATCACCAGTGGAATTTCGAATTTCTTCAGGTAATAATTCGTTAGTAGACGCTTACAATTTAATGCCATAATTATGTTGCAAATGTTAAACGGATCTGAATCCCCTGAATTTCTCATTTCCTATATTAGAGTAATCTTACTTTAAATTATTTCATTTCGCTATTTTTAAGTCAAATAATGAGAACAATTAAAAATATTAACTCAGTAAACTATGATATAGGTACTACTTTAATTGGTACTAAACTGATATATTGGGAACTACGGATTTTCGAAACTATGATATCGACTATAATTTGGTTTTTGAATGATTAATCCATTCGTTGCGTTGATGAAGACGGATAAATCAGCAGAGCCATCTTCCTTCAATTGTTAATGATTGTTGATAGAAAGGATAGATTAAAGGTATGAATATTGCGTATTATTTTCAACAGCTATGTCATAGCCAGTACTGGTGTATAGTAAAAGTTTGGAAAAAAGGATTACAAGATTTCAAGTCTTCAGAATTTTAATTCAACAAATGTTAATTTACAAAAAAATTAAATTATTGGCACTTTGTATGTTTTGTATATGTATATAATGAGGCACCTATATTCTTTCGTTACAACAAGAAATAAATATAGAATATAGATCATTAATTAACGAATAAATTAAATGCAGATTTTATTAATATCCTAGTAAATATTTTTCGGCTGCTATCCGAATAGTCGTATTACATATTAATATTTTATATAACCCACTTATACCTTGACCGGACAGGCATATAAAAAGGAAACCAAAATTATTTACAATAGGTGTTTTTGATAGGTGTTAACGATAAAATAGTTAATTAAGTAAGTAAGAATATGCAAACTCTCAGCAAATTGTATATGCTTAGGCTTGTCGAGCAATATTTTGTGCAAATTATAAATTATATATACATGTGGTTTTTGTCGTATCGTTCTGATTCATCTCAATTGGGTCCAGCCTCAAAAAGGATGCAGCTTTTATCGGCTGGGTCCACAACAATTCTGGAGTTAGTTGAGTTGGTTTGGCTGGGCAGCGAAATAGCTGAGCAGATGTTTTGCACATCTCTGTCAATCCGGGCCCAATACGAATTGAGGCGGCTGCACCATCCGGCTCTTAACTGTGCCAAAACTACTCGGGTTTGTCGGGACAGCTTTCGCTCTTCAGCTGCGATGGGAGGGGATGGTCGGTGCGATACGGTATCCTTGTTGTTGTTATTATTTTGTGTAGTAGTTTTCAGTTAGTTCAGTCAGGTTACTGCCTAAATCAATACGCGCGCTTACTAAAATTTATCAATTTATGTTTTTTTGTGGTCCCACGTGTATTTGTTTTTTTTTTACTATGAACTGGTATTTGAATCACTAACTCCTTTCATATAAAAATGTCAGTTTTCGCATAAACGAAGAACGATGCACTGCAAAATAGCTGAGCTCAGTGTTCAATGATAATAATACTGCAATTTAAGTGTTTTATGCAATCTTGTCCTCACAACATTGCATTCGCCCATTATAAACAACATAATGGGGGAAAATACATGGTGATCGGTGTATTGTCTAAGCCTAAATCATCTTTTAACGTAATTGTGTAGAATAATTATAAAAGAGCAAATATTTATTTTCATGCATCTATTAGTAATACGTCCATACTATTCTACCATATAGAATATGTCGACTGTGAAATTTTGCTTTTAGATTAATTAATTTATTTAATTTTCTTTAGCCCCCACGAGGCACATTTCATAGACCGCTTTCGAGAGAACCAGCGGTTACAACCAGTTTCACCAATCGACATGGAACCTTCCAAGATCTTATTACACCGTAATACCTCGATGGCAGATTACTCGGAAGTTCGGACGAACGATCCACTTAGTGATCTGGATTCGCCCCTTCACACACGTGCTGGAAATAAATTCAGCGAATGTGATCTTGTTGAAGGTGAGATGGGGGTACGCAGTGATGATGACGACGAATTCATTTCGGCAGACGTCAAAATGATTCTTCGTAAGAGACGTGGATGGGGTCATGACGACTCCTTAAGCACTCACGATCTGGATTTGCTTGGTGAAGATGATGACGTATTAGCTGAGGAAGATGATGCAGGTTGTCCATTGCCTTCAACTCCTGAGGATACGCAACTCATAGAAGCTGAAGTAAGTAATTATTTTATTTTCAAAAAAGTTTTATGAGAACAAATATGTCACACTTATAAAACAAAAATATTAAGTGATTATTTTTTTTTTTTTTTTTGTATATCAAGATTTGGCTTTTAATTATTTTTCTTGGCTTAATACGTTAACTTTATGTGTATTCTTTTCTATAATAAAACAATTGCTCAGAAAATTCGGGTGTTTTCAAAATGCTTATTGCAATGTATGCATCGACAACATCTACGGGTTTTGTAGAGAAATAAATTTTTAGAAATATATAGAACATGATTTTGAAAATTAAAATGTTGACTTTTCATTCAGTTTTCGCGGTTTTCAAGAGAAACAAGAGAAACCTACTCCTAAACAATTACTGTATTAGACTATAAACAATGTAAACAACGTACAAATTATACTTATAATGCTTAATAGATGAAGGATAAAAACCCGGTAGAATTATACAGTTAACAGCAAGTGGTGTTGTAGAACAAACGTAACAGGAATCACATAAAAATTTGTTTTTGTACATAATACAAGTGTCATTTAATTTCAAAAAATGTAAAAAAACATTATTTTCAATAAATTATCTTAATTTCAAAAAAGCTCATTTTTGAAATTAAATCTAAAAGGAAGAGGAATAGTTTTAAAAATATTTAATTTTAATGCTTTCATATCAACCCCCTAAATGTATAGTTGTAAGCTGTAGGTCCAAATCTTTCAACTCTTCTATCAATCCCTACAAAAACGTGGAAAAGTTATTCTAAATTTAACGATTTTAGGAAACATGAAATATTCGCCTATATGACCCAATGTGGTGTCGCTGTTCCTTAAACGCGAAAAAGTTTTTGCACTATCGCCGTTGGCGTTTTGTTAAGTATAGCAGTGATTTTTTTCTATTATTAGACAAATAAATGTTCGCATTGCCTTGCAGTGAAATTTTATATCAAAATACCTATCGGTATTTTAATTTAACACTAACTATATTGACTATAGAGTCAAATCAGCCAAGAGAGTGATATGAACTTAAGCCAATGGGGAATACTCCAAGACCTAAGCAATCAACCGATTGAATATTCAACAATAAAAAACAAACACACAACAGCCGAAGCATTAGCAAACAAACATAATTTTTTTATATTCTTCAAAAGAAAAATATAGGAGTTCTGACATTTAGTTTTGCTAGTCACGTATAACAACATTTCACTTTTAAATTACAATTTAGCAATTATGATTAAGATCTTTATCAGGGATGCTTGTTTCCATTTATTGGACAATATAGACAAACTGATTTGACGAATTATTTTGAATCCACTATATACCAACTTTCTATACAATCAAATCGTTTCAACTTTGTTCTTTGGTATGTTTCTAATCAAACGGTACTCCCAGTCTGCTCACTTAGCGATAAGCTTTCGCAAAAGATTATAGAATAATTGAAACAAAACAAATAAAGTTGAAGTAGCGAACAAAAATGAGTTCCCATGACGCAACTACTAGCACACAGAAAACCTCCAATGCTGTAGACAAAAATGAGAAATCCTTGGAAGACAATGTGCAAATTGATGTTTGTAGTGTTTTCGATTGCCATAAATTATGTATATCTCTAAATGAAATATGTTGCATTTTTTTGTTTGTAGATGACGGAAGTATTAAAGGCTGGCGTTCTTTCGGATGAAATTGATTTGGGAGCATTGGCCCATAATGCAGCTGAACAGGCAGAAGAATTTGTGCGCAAGGTAATTGATTGTCATTCTAATCGGAATTGTAACTTATTATTGGCAGTATATATGAATGCTTGTGTTATCTAAATTGCAGGTGTGGGAAGCTAGTTGGAAGGTGTGCCACTACAAGAACCTTCCAAAGTGGTTGCAGGATAATGACTTTTTGCACCGTGGACATCGTCCTCCACTACCTTCGTTTAGTGCTTGCTTCAAATCAATCTTTCGTTTGCATACGGAAACTGGCAACATTTGGACTCATCTGTTAGGCTGCGTAGCTTTCATTGGCGTAGCATGCTACTTTCTGTCACGCCCATCTGTGGAAATTCAATTCCAGGAGAAACTGATCTTTGGCGCATTTTTCGTGGGTGCCATAATCTGTTTGGGTTTTTCATTCGCTTTTCATACGCTCAGTTGTCACTCTGTTGAAATCGGAAGACTGTTTTCAAAGTAAGTTTTTTCATATATTATCCATTAATTGTGCCTGTTACATATGAAGTATACATATTTGTAATCAATGTGTAGACATATATCAGTCATGTAATATTATAAAGTATGATTGGTTAGCTATTGTCTTTTGGAAACATGGGTTTAAATAGCTACCGCACTTTTCGCATCTTCCGTTTAGTCTATGATTTATAATTTTTGTGACAAATAATTTTTGTGGGGGCTATGAAGAAGCTCATGTTTATACAGACGAGATAATCTTCAAACATTGAATTACTATCAATTAAAATGAGATTGGATCAATACTTCTAAATTTTATATGCTTTTAGCATAAAAATAAAGAATTCATGCATTTTTCTTAATTTGAAAAGCTTTTCTACTGCTCTTAAAAAATAACACTGTATATAATAATTAAATTACATTAGTGTATTGTTATTATTATTCAAAATTGAAGTTGCTCTTATTTCATACTTGTGTTTTTTTTTTTTTTGAAAATGGACTATATACTAAGGCCGTTTTGTTACAAATGCAAAGCTTTTATACTAAATTTTAGAGATAACATTAAGATTTACATAACAACGATGCTCCATCGGCCACCGATGGATGGAACAAGATTTCATTTTTAATCCATAATAAATGCTATACTCAAATTGTGTGAAGATTTTTAATCCATACTTCACTTTATTGAGAAAAGGGCCCATATTGTATACTCTTGATACATACCAATATTGTAATTAATATTTGTAACGTTTCACAGATTAGATTATTGCGGAATCGCTCTACTAATCATGGGCTCATTCGTACCCTGGCTTTATTACGGATTCTATTGCCACTATCAGCCCAAAGTGATTTACTTATCGGTCGTGTGTGTGCTGGGATGTTTGTCAATAATTGTGTCGCTGTGGGATAAATTCTCTGAACCTGCTTTCCGACCCCTGCGTGCTGGTGTATTCATGTGTTTTGGTTTATCCGGTGTAATTCCAGCTATACATTACGGTGTGATGGAAGGATGGTTCAGTCAAATTAGCCAGTCTAGCTTGGGATGGCTTGTGTTAATGGGTAAGAGTTTTAGTTATATATATATATATATATATATATATATATATATATATATATATATATATATATATATATATATATATATATATATATATAGCTTTTTTTTTTGAATGGCAACTAATTGTTATAACTCTAATAGGCTTTTTGTACATACTGGGAGCACTGCTTTACGCCTTGCGGGTGCCGGAAAGATGGTTCCCCGGAAAATTTGATCTATGGGTATGTAAAAAATGATTTTACTCTGAAATTGTCCTCGAAATTTAATGCCGATAATTTTATTTCGTTACAGTTTCAATCCCATCAACTATTTCATATTTTAGTAATAGCCGCTGCTTTTGTACATTACCATGGTATTTCTGAAATGGCCATGTACCGAGTAACTGTAGGCGAGTGCACAGTTCCCCATGAGCCGATTACTTTCTAAGACGACCATTCTGCTGAATACCTAATAATAAAATATAGAAAATAGAATATATTACAAACATCGCCACCCACAAGTTATTTAGAGTTCTCAATCAAAACACTTTAGTTCTGGTATATAGCGCGATGTCAAACAGTATGGTATGTATATCGGCAAAAGTCGTCCTCAAGAACAGTCGAATAAAGTTTTCCGCATAACAAGTGTGACTATTGCCACATCTATGTATCTATCTGCGAACGCTACACATCACATTTCATTCCCAAAAATGTTGGCTTGCATATTGATCATAAACACATTGTAGTGAAGAGTTAAATACTTTTAAGTTGATGCGAAGCAAAATTCCAAACACTTTGATAAGAAATGTATTAAATGTTAATCCAAAATCAAATAATTTAGCAGCGTGATGACACTTCTGTTCTGAATATAAATATTCAGACGAAAGGCAAAATTAACGCTCTCTTAAACTTTATTTAACCACATACCGAACACAAATAAAATTTTTAATTCTATTTTTATTTCTAATTATAGTAAATGTATTTTAATAAAACCCATAGACAACGTATCAAAATGTACTATACAATTATTACAGTATGCATCGACATTCAAACTGGTTTGTTAAAATCAGCCAGACAAAAGGTGAGTAAGAAACCATAAATATATATCAATGCAAAATTTAATGAACATTTGACTTTTATTTAAAATTTTAATTGAATAATTCTTGATCAAAATGTTGACCTTTCGTGGGTGAAGAATTGAAAACAGGGGACTGATATATATCCCGCATCTACATCAAATATCACAGTTTCTAATAAAAATAAATTATGACATTTAAAAATTAAAACTAGAAAAATTTAATGAAATTTGAAAACATTTTTGGGAAGACTGAAAATTATGAATGAAAAATACAATGTTGAATGGCATATGTACATTCAAACGAAAGTAAATTTTGTTTCCACGGAAAACTGGAAACAAAATAGGAATTATTTTCAAAATGTTTGTATCGGCAGAAAAAAATGTTTGACAAGTTTCTCTCCAGCAGAATTTAAAAATGCAAAAATACGTTCAAAATGTCAACATTTACACAAAAAGTTGAAAATATGAATGAAAATTGTAAAATTAATGATATAATGAATCTTTGGAAGAAAAACAATAATTTCTTCTATTCATATTAGTGAGAATTTCATGCATTTTCGTATAAATTCCAATTAAAATCAACAAACAAAATTTTTGAAAAAAGGAATTATTTTACTGATTTGGGTTCTATTAAGCTTATAGACCTAAGTTTTGTAAATAAAAATTCTTTTTATTTTTATTTACAAAACTTAGGTCTATAAGCTTAATAGAACCCAAATCAATAAATCTACCTTGACCAAGAAAATTAATAACCAAGGAATTATTTTACTATGAATTACGAATCGTACCGTAATTAGAAAACAATTGTAAAGATAGTAGATTCTTACAGGTTCTGGAATAGACATAAATGTAGGTTGCATGGTACAGTAAAAAGTATGGTGGGCTACCTGCTGATTACAATACAAATATTCATGGTAGAAAAATACAGGTAACAGCAAGTGTTGTTGTCGTAACAATCGTAACAACAACCAAATTTGTTTTTCTACGTAATACAAGTGTCAGAGTTATGTGTCCAAAAATTTAAACAAAATAATTAATTTTCAATAAATCATTTTAATTTCAAAAATATACATTTTTGGAATTTGGATTATTAAATTGAAAATGCAGAAGAATAGTTTTTAAAATGTTTAATTTTAATGCTTTCACATCATTCCCCTGAATGTATAGTTGTTAGCTTTTGGTCCTAATCTCTCAACACTTCAAGCAAACGCTAGAAATCGTGGAATAGGCAACAATTTGAATCCAAACAGCATAAGTCCAACGGCGATTTTTCCTATTATTAGGTAAAAAATATGTTCACATTGTTCTGCAGTGAAATTTTATATCAAGGTATAACTATCGTATATCAAGAAATGGAATTAAATCACAAAACGTCATATCGAATATGGACTGACGGTTCGTCCCCATAACCTTTTTATATTATGTATTTCGCCCCAATCAGGGTCTTAAAAGTACGTTTACATACAAAATCGCTGCCCGGGTAAATTAACAAATCACAATAAATGTGTCTATAGAAAACATGGTAGAAGAATTATCGCTTGGGAACATTGATATTTAAAAGTTTTTAAAATGTTTTTTCATTGTCTCTAAAGCTGTGTTGATGCGACTACCTGGATTCTTCTACGATGATAGACAGCTTACATTTAATTTATTGTAATTTGTCAATTATTAGGATTAACTCGGATAGAGATTTTGTATTTAAACGTAACTTTAACGATTTAAGACTTGTTCATATCAATGCTGGTAAATTTTTGAAATAACACTGTAGTATATTTTAATCAATTAAAAAAATGATTTGTATAAACCAAATTCGTTAATTTCAATTTTTAATTGTCATCGCTTGCTAAGAATAAAGTTTGAATATTCAATTTTTAAATATAGAGAGTTGTTCGTTACATGCGGGAGATTGGTTGGTGTAAGGAGAAACTCGCTGGAAGGCGATTGGGGGCAGGAAGATTTTTTATATCATAACTTCAATAAATTCTGATGATAACATGAATGTAGAACAAAATTACCTCCTAAATACATTTTTTTGCTTCAGGTGCCCTTATTCGTCAAAACATACACCCATTTTGTGTATGTGTGTGTGTATAGTTTTGAATAAAAAATACAATAATTTGAAATTATTTCAAATTCCGTTCTAAAATGAATGCATAATTTCGACGTTAATGGGCAATACATTATAAAGTTTTGGAATTAAACTATATTGTACTACTATTTAAGATTCCATCTTTTAGAATAACCCCAAAATTCCATTCTTATTACGCAGGTTTTCACCAATAGAAGACTTTTGTTAAAACAAATAAAAATTAAACAAAACCAACTGTTGTACATTTAAAAGTCTATTTGACTCTATAAAACTCGAACACAGTTTCTTTGAAGTTTAGCAACCTTTCTTATTGAGCCATGACAATTCATATGTTTTAGATTTTTTTTTAATATTACCTTGAAATTTAATTTTTTTTGATTCCCAAAAAAATATTGCTTTGTTAAGTATTATTGAGGTTTATTGGCAGTTTGTTTGAAAAACGTTTTTGTAACGTCCTTCTTAAATCACCTTGGTCCAGATCAACATTAAATTCAAAATGTAATATTGGATATCGAAAATTTGAGGTGTTTATCTCATTCACATTCAAATTCGTCGCCCCAAATTGTCAATTTTTGTCCATGGTCGGGCCCACTGTGCTTTTTTGCGACCTGACGAACGGACATATCTCAAACTTATTTGTCCAATGAACTTATAATACCCCACCACACAACAATGACATTAGTTATAAAAAAATATTCATAGTTTCCGGAATTGAAATCTTTTGGAAATTTGATAAAGTAGGATTTGTATAATGGCTAATGAGAAATTGATTTCAAGACTAAAAAAATTGTAAAAATCGCAATTACCATTTTTTGAAGTCTTTTGCAGATGAGGATATTTACATTAATGCTGCATTTAAACATTTTTTGCTTTGTTTCATCGAATTTTGATAAGAAATTTATATCAGATGTTGGTCAATTCCGTACTAAGGGTCATCCACGGCCACGGGCGTAGAAAAATCATGAAATGATTTCGGTTTAATTTTTACCATCGTCGATGGTTCTATTGAAAATCTCCTATTTCCCCATTCATGATTGTGGTATAATCAGGTCGGTGGAAATATTCAAAATAATGCCGCTTGGCACGCAAAGAAAAGAATTCGTAATCTCGATCTTAACCAAAGGTGAAAAAACGTTAATATGTGTGGTATTGATCAATGTGTGTGTGTGTCTTGCGTGCGGAAGAAAAGATGATAAATTCAAGATTCTTCGTCCGTGTCCAATCGCTGTGATTGATAAAAGTATGTCAAAACACAGCTATGTAGGTACATAGGAAATCTTTGTATTAGTGCGAAATACAACAGAGACCTCCGGCATGGCCTCACAGAATAGATCCCCCAACAGTGTGCTTAATGATCTACACACAGAGGTCACACTTAGTGAAGATAATTTGAACACCAATGAACGTCTAAGCTTCAGCCAGCGGCAAAGGCAAAAGCTGCGAGTATATAAAAAAGTATTAATCAATGGACCAATTAAAATAAATTATACAAGCAAAAGCAAGACTTCTAAAAGTTTATGACATCTTAGCCCTCGAAGAATAGATTCTCGCCTGAGTTTCGAAATTAGCATAATTCCATAACTTCACAAATTCAAATAAAAGAACGTCAGTTGGCAAACATTCAGATACATGCAATTAATATACATCTACGAATGTGGAATGCGTGTGTGTGCGAATGTTAATCAAAACCCAGCAAACAAATTATCAAATAACCATCCTTGCAAATAACTATCAATATAGACCTACATTTTGGCATAACTCTCATATGAAGGTAACAGGGTCTTGGTCACATTTTTCAATTGATTTAGCCCTTCTTTGGCAGGGGGTAGAAAACCTATCGCAAAAAAATGTCAATGTTGGTCAATGTTCCGAAGTAGCGTCCATATAAAGGCGCCTCCCGAGTTTACCAATTTCCAATCGATTTGGTAAAAAACTTGTATTTAGGATGTTTTGGTAGAAAATCATCTCCAAAAAAAAAAATGTCAACATGTCAACATATTTATCTTTGTAGGTCCTGGACAACGATCCCAACCAATATTGTCTGAGAGTTGGGAAATTCAAAGTTGCGGTAAACGTATTGAGTAATAACAGCAAATGCCTTTAAGGTATTTTTAATTTTTCTTTTTCGTGTCGTATCGTACAGGATTAAAATGGTCCATTACTCAAAAGAAATTTGTTTTCTTTTAAAATTTTTGAATTTCCCACCCATCAGGGTATAACCGGAAACTTGTCGAGCAGTATAATTTACCGAATTTGATCAATTTAAGTTACTCCCTTGTTGTTTTTATTTGGATGTGTGAGGGCTGTGCAAAATGAATGTCATTGCACTCATCGCATCTCCCCACATCTTTTACTGTTTTTAATTTACTTTATTTTGGGCAATGACTTTTATAAGTTATACCTACATCTGTATCTATAAATGATGAAAATGTTTATACGTCTGATTGTTTGCTTGCAATTTATAGACTCAAAAACCGCTGAACACATTTTCCCACAAATTTCCAGACATATTATGGCATCGCCTGAAAGTAACATGGGCTATATGCATTTTTGAAATTCCACTTGCAACTGGAGATATAGAATATGAATCGGAGGCACCTCCAAGAAAGTTAGATTTTTTATGCACATATCTATTGATCGATTACAGATACAGTCTTCACATTTGAAATGTGTAAACGAATTTGGTACAAAAATAAATTGTATTGAGATCGGTTCATATTTGGATATAGCTCTCATATATATTTGCGTCCGATTTCATGTATTTGATGCACCAAACACCGCTATGTATCTCCAATTTCAATGAAGTTTGGTCTAAAAATAAATAAGCCGATTTATATTGAAACCTG